CGTGACTTTCCCTGGGGGCTTTATTCCCTTTAAAAGTTCCCCTGTGTTCCTCTGTGCTTATGGAGTGGAAGGAATGCTTGTGGTTTTATAGCTATTTTAGTAGGGAGTCACTTATTTTATAGACAAGCAGTATTGATGAATTGTTGGTGTTATTTGTTTATTCTTCAGTGATCTCTGCCCATAGGTAAAGTCTAATGCTGGTTGTTGATGGCTTTTTATACAGTCTTATTTCCTACCTTCTGGTAGTCGCTAGAATTTTAAACACAGTGTCTATGGAGTTATGCATAAATCATTCAGGTCTGGTCTTGAAAAATGAGGTCTAGAAAATCACATGAACAACCAACACAACTGAGCACTTCTTACATGCCAAGCTATGCTTCGAGGATCTTACTGGTATAAACTCATGTGACCCATACGGCAACCCCAATGAAGTGGATTCTCTTATGTCACGACTTTGCAGATGAAGTAATTGAGTTGTGAAAGGTGAATTAACTTACCAAGGCTATGGATGAGGTGTGACTGAAAAGTGTAGTGAATGTTTAAATTTTTAAAGGGTTTATTATAGTAAAAACACATTGCCTTTGATTTCTCTCAAAATCCTCCCCCTTGCTTCTAGGCACTTATCCCATCGTTCTTGCCACTGTCTAGAGCAGTTCTGTAAATTCTTCTCACTAAGTGTCTTTGGTTGTGCTATTGTGGCTACTTCTAAGTGGTGAGTTGATTCAGAACAGTTGCTTTTCAGGATCATTTTTACTTTAGGGAAGAGCCAGAAGTCACATGGCAGTAGATTTGGTGAATAAGGTGGATTACACTACACTGTAACCTGCCTTTATCCTGGATGGCACTCCGCAGCAGCACTCACCATAGCTTTGATCCCACCTTGTAGAGCCACTTAAGAAAGACGGTTTCTAGAACTTCTTCAGAAAAGTGGCAAAAACCGTGGGATAAGTGTGTTCAAAGAAAGGAGAAGTATTTTAAGGAGAAATAGTGGCACCGTGTCTTTCATTGTAATAAATTAAAAAAATAATTTACATGTTTGCCATATATTTTGATCACCTTTGTAGCTGGTGAAAATGGAGCCAGGGCATCACAGTGAGGCATAACTTGGACTTTCTGATTCCTGCCTCTGGGCTTTGGATGCGCTTTGCTTAGCCTCCTCCTGGAAGCTTGCATGTCTGTAGCACTGGGGTCACTGCGCTCACACATGAAGGCATCCAGAAACATGGCATTCGAGTGCCTTGTTATGGAACAACATACAGCCCTCGAACATGCCTTTGCAGGATACATGACAATTGTTCTCTGCTTCTTTTAGGCAAAAGTGATGATGAAGAAAGTCTTTGCAAGTCAGCCCAGGGAGCAGGAAAAGGAGCCACAGAGGATGGCAAGGACCATAAGCGTCCCAAGCGTCCCAGAACCATCTTGACGACCCAGCAGAGGAGAGCGTTCAAGGCCTCATTTGAAGTATCCTCCAAGCCCTGCAGGAAGGTCAGCAAGGGAGAGGGGAGGAAGTGGAACAGGGCCCACTCTTCTGGGATGCCAGAGGGCTCTGGGGATCTGAGTGGTAGAGAAAGCCGATCAGACAGTGCTTGTGCAGGTGGAACAAGTTGATAGAGACTCCAGGCACTGCCAAAGTGTGGCCATGGAAGGAACATAATCTCCTCATGGCTTCATGTGTGCTCATTGCCTCCAAAGGGCTCTGCCTGATACCTTTCATTTTCTGGACAGCAATGGGAAAATAGTAATAATAATAATAATAATAATAATAATAATAATAATAATAATAACAGTAGGTATCAGTTGTGATATAGACCAAGATGCTGTAATAAAGAATATAGAAATATAGTGGCTTGCAAGATGTACTGTTTTTGGTGGTGGTGGTGGGGACTTGGCTTGGTTTCTGTTTTGTTTTGTTTATTTTATTTTTTATTTGTTTGGTGTGGCAAACTGGAGACTCACTCATGTTGTAGTTCATTTTTTGTTATGTTGGATGGTGTTCCACTGTATGGATGTGCCATGGTTTGTTCCAATTGTCCATCATTGGGGTTTGGGTTGTATTTAACTCGGGTTGTTAAAAAGAGGACTGCTCTGAACATCTGTAGAAAAACTGTAGTGGCTTCATGAGATAGGAGTTTATTTTTCTTTTATGTAATCATCCAAGAGAGAGCAAGCCAAAAGCGATGGGGCAGCTCTGTTATTTGTCATGGGAGTCCAAGGGTGTCACCAGTTGTTTGCATTTTTCCAGCCCCTGGGTGGGGTGGGAAGAGGAAGTGGCGGGCAGAAGCTGCCTTTTTGAGGACATACCCAGAGTTTGCCCACACAGTTCTACTACCTAAGTTGGCCAAAATTGAATCTGAAAGCCATATTTCCTGCAAGAGAAGCAGGAAAATGAGTCAATCTGGGTGATCATGTGCCCTGCTAAAACTTAAATATTCAGATATTGGTAGAAGGGAGAAGATAGATCCTGGGGGCAGTTCACAGTCCCTGCCACAAATAACTGTGCCCTTTCACTGAGCACTTACAATTTATCAGACTGCCTGCCATATACTGTATACTATTTTTACACACTAAAAATAGACAAAAGCATTCTTTTTTTTTAAATTCATAAAATAGTTTTTGAAACTTAGCATTGTATTTTTTCTGGATCCCTATCTGAATTAGTCAACTTTCTCTGAGATGAAAAAACAAGCCAAAGTCTTAGTGGCTCCCTGTAAAAATTTGTTTCCTGGTTTCTGTGCTGGACATGGGTTGTGGCCTTGCTGAGCTCAGGTTTCGGCCTGCACCCCCAGTATCTCATTTTAGGATCCTGGCTGAAGGAGCAGCAGACCCACCCCCACCCCCGAGTGCTGGTTTCGTGAAGATGGGATAAAGCAAGAAGCCATGTCAGAGCAGGAAACCCATGGGGCCATGTATGAATATCATCCCTATCATGTCCACACTGGGGCTCCATGCGCCCAAGTAAGGGGGCTTAGCCCAACATGAGTGTGGTGTTGAAGCACCTACCCACTTCTTTTCCGTGCACTCCTGCTCTCTCAATGGCCTTGTGCTGGGTACCTGTCCCCAGGCAGCTTACAGCCACCTGCTTGGAGGAGATGTGCACTGTAATTCCAGGAAGAGCACAGGTGACATCCAGGGGCAGGGGAGCTGCAGGAAGGGAAAGGTCTCTTGTGTCTGGGGACTCTGCAGGGCTTTGTGGAACAGGTGGCTTCTGAGCTGGGCCTCTGAGCATGGATAGGGTGTCAGCAGGTGCAAGGAGGCCTGTGTGTGCTCCTGTTGTAGGTGGCTTAGCACAAGGATGTGCTTGAAAATCTTCCCTAATCATCGCACTTCTAAGCCTCAGCCCAAGACACATGAGAAAAGTAATGTGTTTCCCGAGGCCTGCAGTTGTTCTACTCAAGTGTGTATTCAGGAGCCTCTTTCAATCCCTTCTCCTCTGGAATCCATCAGGAGGGGGCAGAATCCCTCAGGTCCACTCTGTGAAAATCTGTGCTTGCTTGGCCTTTCCCCTCTCACTGTCTCACCAGCCCCTCGCCATGTGTCTGAATGGCTGGCAGATGTTTCAGCTCATCTCTTTATTACCTAGATCCCTACTGTCCTCATTTCTGGACAGCCCCAGTGCAGGTGCCACATCAGTGCTATACACCTGGCTCTGCCAGCTTCCAGATGGCTGTCTGGAAGGGGCTTACTCAAGACAACACCAAATATGCATAATTGCAAGACACCCAAAGTCACCTAGAGCTAGAGGGACAAAACCAAAAATTTAGACAAGAGAAGCAAGCAATAGAGAACCGTTTTACAAAGTGATCTTTCACCGCAACTCTCCCAAAGTAGGCTAATGTGTATGTATGGTCTTTCACTAAAGCATGGTAGTTTTCGATAATATCTAAGACCTACTTGAAGGCCTGGTTTCAGAGTAAGGAAAACCCAAAAATACTTTCTGGAAACATGCATTTAGACGAATGGGTGTTTTTTTCTTTGTTACCTGGTGAAAATCACCTATCTGTGTGAAAGGAGACCTGTTCTTGTGTTTGGGTTTATGATGATATGAGTCTCTAGCTAGCCCTGTATAACAGGGGTCCCCAACCTCCAGGCCTGTTAGAAATTGGGGCAAACAGCAGGAAGTGAGTTTCAGGTGAGCGAGTGAAGCATCATCTGTATTTACAACCGTTCCCCATGGATCACGTCACCACCTGACTTCCACTTTCCATCAGCTTGGCTCAGTTCATTTGATTGTCGTAGGAGTGCAAACCCTGTTGTGAACTGCACATGTGAGGGATCTAGTTTGTGTGCTCTCGGAATCATCCCCAAACCATGCCCCACCTCCGCTCCCCCTCCTGGCTGATGGGGAAACACGTCTTCCGTGAAACTGGTCCTTGGTACAAAAAAGGTTCAGGACAACTGTTGTGCAAGATCTGCCTGCTGGTTTCTCTGTGCGGTATATAGCCTGTATTCTGCCTCCTACCCTAAGGTGCCAGTGTTTCTACATTGATAATATTTGCTTTCTTCAAGGTGAGGGAGACTCTGGCTGCAGAGACTGGGCTGAGTGTCCGTGTTGTCCAGGTGTGGTTCCAGAACCAGAGAGCTAAGGTAATCCTGCTGCTTGTTCTGATGAGTCTTACGGATACTTGTTTTCTGAAACTGGAGCAATAGGGTATTAGACTTGCTGTCAGGCTTTCTAACCTTAACTCGTTGGACAGAGGAGCCCTCTTAATGAAAAAATTCTATCATCTGCAATTATTTCCGCCACAGAAGCCCTGTGGAATTTGCTTTAGTAAAATGGCTTTTATTTTTGTTTTTCTAGTGACCCTGTGTGTAAATCCGGCCAAATACCTGTGTAAATAAATGTCTTTACATAAAACCATATTCTTTAATTTACATTTATTTTTAACTTGTACTTATTGAATCCAGATACAAAGTTTTTTGAAAATATCAAAGAGAAACCCCAAAGGCACACGTATGACTATTGAGACAACATCTTGGCATGGTGGGACAAATGTCTTCACTCCAGTGACTGCCCCTTAGGGGCACAGTCCCACACCATTGTACTGTCTTCCAAATTGCACCAGTGCCTGTGTTGCTCCAGCACAGTCTTTGTTTTGAACTTTTGCTCATTTGTCTTCCTACTTCTAAATATGCACATATCTTGGCCCGTTCCTCTACTGTCTTGGTCTTCAGTGGGTGATTACAGTGTCCTTATTTGATCATGATTGGTTAAGGTAGCATTTCCATAAGTGAATTCTTCATAACAGGGCTGTTGTTGTATTATTCCATCAGAAAAATCTCTCCTGGCGGTAAGTTTGGGAGGCCTTATATACTATGGAATCATAGAGCAGAGGAACACATTTAAATATGGGCAAATCTTACAATAAAAAAATTTAAATCTAGTTTTTCCTACTGCCTCCCTCTGTTTGTCTCTCTGCCTCTGTCTCTGCCTCTGTCTCTGTCTCTGTCTCTGTCTCTGTCTCTCTCTGTCTCACACACACACATGTGCACACACACACACAAAGACTAAAAGCATATATGTTAACATTTCATGGAACCCTAATGTTCCACTGACACAGTTTGAGAAGCATTGGGTTAAAATGTGCTTCCTACCTAGAGATGCCAATCTCTCAGGAGATGTCATGAACACAAGGGCCAGCAGACTGGAGAAGGGAGGGAGAAATCTCTTCTTTATACCTCATCAGCAGCCCTGGCTCCACGTCTGTCTTGGCTGAGACATCCACATTTGTACAATTATTACCTCACATGAAGCTGTCCAAGCATAAGCAGCAAGTTGTACTTGCTGAGAGGTAATCTGTGTTTCTGAGAAGACAAAGTGCATCACGGCCTATGTTTCCACTGTGAAGCATGAGAGATCTCAGCTTCAACGTATCTAACTCGAGGTGCTGGTCCCTGGGTATGGCTCCTTGGCTGAGCAAAAGCTTGGGAAACAATTCCTCTAGTTTACAAACCACTGTTTCACCAAAGGTGAGGGTTTTCTTTCCCTTTCCCCCCATGGAGTGGGTGTGAGCCGCTGCTTCCCTGATTTTTAACCCTGTGGTCCTCCTCCCCTGTCAGATGAAGAAGCTGGCCAGGCGGCAGCAGCAACAGCAGCAAGACCAGCAGAACACACAGAGGCTCAGTTCTGGTAAGCTGGTGGCTCAATGCCTGGAGTGACCAAAACCTTTCAGTGTGGACTGAGCCATGAGGAACTTGCAAGTGTTGAGGGCATGTGAGCCACAGTCTAGACCAGCTGACTGGAGGTGGCTCAGCATTATCCAAGCTCCCTACCCTGATCCTACCTGGATCAGGACTACAAAACAAGTCACAGGCATGTCCTGTGTCTTATCTTGCCCTGTCCTCCTTCCAGGCTAATCAGTTGAGTAAAACACTCCACTGACTTAATCCTTGTGTTAGCCTTCCATCACTCTGGCAACATACCTGAGACAATCAACTGAAGGAAGCTCATGGTTTCAGAGGTTTCAGTCACTAGTAGCTTGGCCCTATTGCCTTTCGAACCTGTGGAGAGGCAGAATATAATGGCAAAAGTGTGAGGAGGAGGAAAGCTGTTAACGCTTGGTGGATAGGAAGCGAAAAGAGAGAAAAAGGGGCTGAAATTTCCCTTTCAAGGGGACACACCCAATGACCCAACTTGTTCCCATGAGGCCTCATTCCTGAAGGTTGCAATACCTGTCACCAGTGCATAGGCTGGTGACCAAGCTTTTACCATATGTGTCTTTGGGGGAGGCATTTAAGATCCAAACCATTGCACCTCTTTCCAAATCAATGAAAATAAGGATAGTAAAATAGTCATCAACTCCTTGACTAAAGTTTTATAGTTCATAAAGTATTTTCACACATATTGGCTAGATCTTATAGCCACCACTACCTGAAGTGAGCAGAAAAGTTGTTATTATTCTCATTTCACGATGATCAAACAAAGACTCTGCAAGTCAGGACATGGTCCTAGATCAGTAAGCAAAGGAACTGGGATTAGAACTCATCTTTCTGATTCTGTGTTCCTCTAAGGTATGCTGCTTAAATTATCCCTATCTGGACCTTAATTTTTTAAAACATAAGGGTAGTGGTAAGAAGACTGGGGAAGATAGTAAGTGAAGAAGGAGAGGTTGTGGGACTATTCAAGGAAGCTCAAAGGAAAGAAATCATCAAAATCACTGTATTAGAGCAATGTCACTCTTAAAGGAAGGTGCCCCCTCACACGCAAACCTAGTCAACCATGAGAATTTCTTGGAGGTTCTGTACCTTGGAGTGGGACTTCTTACATTTTTAGTATGCATGTAGATCCCCTTTAGTGCTGAAGTGCAGTTTCCAACTTACAAGAAGGGCCTGGGATCTGAGATTCTGAGTTTTTCTCAAGCTTCTACATGGTCTGTGGATGGCCCCGTGCTAACTGTGCAGTGAGAAGTTGGTTCTCAGGGTCTTCTACAGAGCTCCTTATCCTTGCATAGACTCTGAATTATATCTGACACCTGGCCTAGGCTCAATCTGGAACGGGACTCTTGTAGCAAAAGTTCCTTTAGTTTCTTGTCCTTTAAACTGAATGGTATTTGAATGAGACAGATACTAATAGAGAGAAGAACTGATGCATGGGTATGGATGCTGGGAGGAAGGGGAAACAGCAGATTAGCCAGGAGACTTAAATTCTGCTTTTAGCTCTACTCACAATGCTATTTGGTCTTTTCCATACCTTTGGTGCCTCAGGCTATGCATCCTTAGGATGGGGTAATAATTCCTGCTAGCTCTATGTCCCTGGGACTCTGTAATGCTCAAAGGAGGTCACAGATAAGTGTGGGACTTAGTAAGACCTTCCTAAGTTGACTCCATATAGGCCAACAAATTCAAAGGGAGAGACCGCCTCCACAGCGGTCTTCCATGCGTCTCACCATGGAAGGTGTTTGTGCTCTTTTGTAATCACCACCAATACTGAGTAGGTTTGAGCCAGAGAAGAACACAATGAGCCACTATGAGGACACAAATTTGGAGTGCTTGGGGTTTTATTTAAAGAATTATCAGTGCAGCTCCTAGAGTAGACTTCAAAAAGCAGAGGGTGAGGGACATAGAGCCTGTGGGAGTTAAGAGAATCATGTTCATAGCAAGGATATGGAGACAGGAACTGATTCCATATTTCATGAGCCACACAGAAGCAGCAAGATGTAGTTCTTCTTGTCAGCCCTGGGCAGTCAGTTGGTCCAGGATCATGATTCCTATTTGACTAACGGGTGCATAGTGTTTTATTGCTGGAAGGATTTTTAGATTCACCCACTCTAGTGGTTGCAAACTTAACTACAGTAACCAATGCTTTCACTTCAACGATGTGGTTCAAAGATGCTCTCAAAGCTCAATTGCTCAGCTCCCACCCTTTTCCTGATCACCTAGGTGATGATTCCTTCGTAAGGCCCAGGCTGGGAACCACTATTGTCACCATATCCCTTCCATTTTGTAAGCAAGGAAAGTAGGGCCCAGGGAAATGAAATAATCCAGCTGCAGTCACACAGCTTTCTTAGCAGCCTCCACAGTGGTCTTCCATGCGTCTCACCATGGAAGGTGTTTGTGCCCTTTTGTAATCACCACCAATACTGAGTAGGTCTGAGCCAGAGCGTGACTTCCAAGGCTAGGTCATAAAAGACATGATGTATTCTGCTTTGAGTGCTCTTGGATCACTTGCTCTGCCGTGCCATAAGGAGCAGCCCTGGAGGAGCAGTAGCAGCAGGGTCCTGGGAGTGATGGATATGACATCTGGTTTGGAGTGCCGGGTCACAAACTGACAATTATCTGTCTTCTTCTCCCCCAGCTCAGACAAATGGTGGTGGAAGTGCTGGCATGGAAGGGATCATGAACCCCTACACAGCTCTACCCACCCCACAGCAGCTCTTGGCCATTGAGCAGAGTGTCTACACCTCCGATCCCTTCCGGCAGGGTCTCACCCCACCTCAGATGCCTGGAGATCATATGCACCCCTATGGTAAGAGTTACCCAAGCCCCATGGGGCCCTCTCATACCTTTCCTGTGCTGGGTTCTTGTTCCTTTGCAGTCACATCTGTGTGTTTCCCAGATGCTCACCAAGTTTCCCTCGCAGAATGCGGGTCCCACAAAACACAGCTGGAGTCACCTAACCAGAGGCTACAGGAGAAAGCCCCACACGCAGTTTCATCAATGATGTTTCCATTTATTCTTGTTTCCAAAGCTCCTTAGCTGAGCCTCCCCTACTAGCCCAGATTTCTATTCGAATCAACCTTCAGCTAGTGAGGTCTGAAGATGAGGTGGGGTGGGGTGAGTTTTGGAATGAAAGGTGAAAATTCTACTTCAGGGTAAAACATAGACCATAGCATTGTATACACAGAAAATGAGAGAGTAAAGCATCAGTGATATGCAGTATACAATATGCAATATGAGATAAAACTATCTTTACAACACAAATAGTTTCATGCAGTAATCCTTCAAAACATTAGCATCAGAAATACAAGCCTTATTAATTTATGTCAACAAGACAGAAGATCTTAACTTTTTTCCATAATTAAGAAAACTTGTATTGTTAAACCCCCCTTACCTTCCCATGTCACACATTCAGGAAACCTCTGTAAGCTCTAGTTCTGTGTAAGGCCCTCATTGTCTGAATATATATATATATATATATATATATATATATATATTTATATATATATTCCAAGGATAACCATCCTTTTGCTCCTTTAAAAGACACATTCACATTTAATCCATTCTTCAACCCGTGGCTATGGGAAAAGAGGGCAAATGAGGGTAATATTTTTGCAAATTCTTACATTTTCAGAGTTTCAGGGTCTTGTTATAGAGCAGACCCCTGTGATAAGTCCTGCAGTGAAATGTGTAATTAAAGCCCAACACGAGTTTTAGAAACTCCAGTTTGCACCTGTCCCACTTATGTGAAATCCTGGTGAGACGTAGGGCCCCTTTAGAGTCAGGTTGCAGGATTTCCTCTACTGTTCCCCAGGGTGCCCTATGGGCTCCTCCATTGGGGTATACATTAGCTGAGGATAGGCACCAAGCTTTCATTTTCTGTATAGCACAGAGGGAGACAAAAGACATTTAGTAAAAGAGGTGATTAAAAATTAAAAAAATTTTATTACAGCAAAAGACACATTGTCATATACCTCCTTCAAAATACTCTCTCAAGTTCAAAATACAGTATTTTGAATACCCTTATCCCATCATTCATGGCACTGTCTGAAGCAGTTCTAGAAGTCTTCTTTCTTAAGTGTCTATGAGGTATGATAAAAAATACACTGCCAAGTGCCATCCAGTGGAAGGCCTGGCTCATAAAAAACATTACAGTGTGTCCTCATCTACCTTATTCACCAGATCTGGCACCATGCAACATCTAGCTCTTCCCCAAAGTCAAAATGGCCATGCAATCAGTCCAGGACATTGAGGCAGCCATGACAGCACAAACCGAAGACACCCACAAAAGAGGGCTTACAGAACTGCTTCAGAAAGTGGCAATAATGATGGGATAAGTGTGTTTAAACCAAGGGGGAGTATTTTTAGAGGGATAAATAGCAATGTGTCTTGTACTAATTTTAAAAACTTGCAACTTACATTGTGTTTTTTGATACTAGTTCATATACTCTTGCTATTTGAAGGAAAATATCATTAGAGAGGTTTTGTTGGCCTTCCTTGGAGACCCTATGCTTGTTTGCTTGCCAACCCTCCAGGAACCACTTCTGAGGCCCAAGTCCTACAGGATCCCCTACTCTGTCTCTCTCACCTCTGGTTTTGACTTTCACCCACCCCTCCCTCACTGTCCAGATAACCAACACTGGCTTAAGATGTGCTCAGTTGAACTCTGTGTCGCATCTGAGTATACTGTGTTCACTTATTGTAATTTGGACACAGGTCCCCTGGAAAGATGCTAGCTTATTCCCTGCTCCTTTTGTATATAGTTTCCCCCATGCCCACCCATTCCCTGGCACCCAGCAGACAGTGTCTCCTGAGGCCACACATGTTGAATTCAGCTACATTTCCTAGCACTGAAGTGAGTCACTTCTTCCAGACCCTCATGTCAGTGTTTCATCTCCATTTCAGGTGCTGAGCCCCTTTTCCATGACCTGGATAGTGACGACACTTCCCTCAGTAACCTGGGTGACTGTTTCCTAGCAACCTCAGAAGCCGGGCCCCTGCAGTCCAGAGTGGGAAACCCCATTGACCACCTGTACTCCATGCAGAATTCTTACTTCACCTCTTGAGTCTTTCCTACACCTCTGTGGCTAGGCTCCCATATGGAACAACCATATTATGTGAGGGGTCTCTGGCTTTAGGATGGGGAGGCCAGGGAAGAGGTGGGTTGGGGAGGGAGTTGCGTTGGGAATGCTGTTGTATAATGATTTGGTGTAGCTCGGCATTTCCAAAGACTGAATACATTATGGATTGCATAGTTTAATGTTTCTAATAAGAGTCATAGCATTAGATATGAAGATGTGTTTATCATTAAGGACAGGGACTTTTAATATAGACATTTTCATGCAAACTAGATACCTAAGGACTCCCAACAACTTCCCACCATTTTGGGGAAGCTCCTGTCAAGAGGTGCGCATATGTCTCTCCATCTACACACCCATAGACAGACAGACAGGCAGACAGACAGATAGGTAGGTGTGTGTGTGTGTGTGTGTGTGTAAAACCTTTCCTACTTTATCATCAAAGTTTATTCCTAATTATAACAGACACCAACTGTACAGCAAAAGTAACTTTATTTTCAGTGTGAACTATATTTAAGGAAATGCTTGATGCACTTAAGTTATAAAATGAGATAATTTACTTTTATAAACTTTATTTTTAATTTGAAGAGACTTGTCAGCAGGGCAGAGAGGGCTGTTCCACCTGGCCCTGTGGCTGTGAGTGCTTGAGTTCATTCTGTTTTCAGAGTGTCATTGAGGTCTGGAAAGCAACTGTGTGGCTGGCAGGGTTCTCGCTCTCTTTGCTGTTGGATTGGTGAGCTTGAGTGGAGAGGACTGGAGAGCAATCCTAGATTGTGTTCTCAGAAAATACAAAGCCTAGACTCTTGGGCTTTCTTTCTAATTCTGACATGAGGTTTTGGGGCAGCATTAGGAGGGTCAGTTCTGCACTTGAGCCACAGCCTCTGCAAGTGTGGAACAAGGCTGACAGCATGTACCTACCTCCCTGGGAGACACTGAAGCTTCACCCCAGGATGCCTGAGCAAGGCTAAGATCTGATATTGGTTTGAAATACAAGCAGATTCCTGAGACAGGAAAGAAGGACACTTGGCACTGCAGAGCAGGAAGGCTCTTGTACCTGGAGCCCAAAGGCACCTCTGCCTACTAAGGCCGTCTGCACAGTTACTGCTGGCAATGACAGCAGCTCAGAGGGATGCTAGAGTTCTTCACGGGAAAGAGGCCCAGGCTGAGAGATGGAGGAAAGGAGGGTGTGTACTAGAGCAGGGGTGATGAAGTATTAATTGCAGGCCAGTTTTTTTTTTTTTAAAGACCAGGTGGCAGGCTGCATATGGCTTGGCAAGCCTGAAATTTTGCTGTCTCTCTTATCTAACTCTTTACAGAAAGATGTCAGTGGCCTCTATTCTAGAGGGTTTGTCTCTAAACAGCCTCTTGGGACTTAGAGGTAGAGCAGATAGGTGGAAACCCAGGATCTTCCTTCTGACTCCTTTCTCTGGTCCCGAGAATGGAAGACCCGGCAGCTATCATACACAGGGACAGGTCCACATCCTGGTCCCTGACTGTGGTGCTAGGATGGGATCTTTCTGTGTGAGAGGCATCTTGGGAAACTAGTACCAAGCAAGGGAATCAGAAGGAAACCTGGGACTCATCTAAGAGGGGCTGCAACAGACTTGGCCTCACTCCCGGGGACATCACCAGAGCCTCGAATTCAGCCATGTGTCCCCTTCCCTCTCTGCAAGGCCAAAGGGAACATGACCCCTTATGGTAGCATCTATGTTGTGTGATTTTTGTGCTCTTGTTTATATTTATACAAACCACCAAGAAACCCAAACCAGTCTGACGAGTGAAACTTACACAGATGCTGGATGGCTCAGCAGGTTTCTGTGGCAAAGATCAGTTGGAGAATGTAGCAGATATTATGTGAATGAAAACCAATAGAGATCCTTAATTCCACTCCTTAATGACATACCGAGATGAAATTAAAAACCTCTTACAAATGAGCTGTTGTTTATTCCGGGATGGGATGGTGGGCAAAGAAGCAGGGGAACTTGGGAGTTTGTTCCACAGGGCCCTGGGGATAAGCTTATGGTAAAGCTTTAAGTGAATGCAAAGAATGAACACAGCAAAGCATAAGAAGTCTTTTACCTTCTGCCAGATGGATGAAGACCCCAGTCTTTACAGGTCACCCAGGAAGAAGGCGCTGGAAACATTGCATCATCGCCATGAAGTTCATTTGCACAGAGTTTGGGTTAATATTTGCTTGGAAATCAGAATAAAGTCATGGGTCAGGAGGTGGTTTTCTCATGCAAAGCTTGAGGAAAATGCCTCTCCAGGATGAGAGAGCAGAGCAATAACATGGCTTCCTTATAGAGGCCTCAGCAATTCCAAATGGGATAGATGCGAGGGCACAGATTATGACCATAGGGGAATGAAGTAGCAAAATGGTATGGATATAAGACCAGGAGGCATATTCAAAGGGTGGCTTCATTGTTTTTGACTATTTTGTCACTGCCTGCAATTGTTCAAATCCCATTACTCCCATCTTACGTTCACTCATCCCATGCTCTGCCTTTTGCTGATGGCTCACAAGGAAAGATGTGAGCTACAGTGCCTGTGAAGGGGAGTTTCCATCTCAGACTGGCCTCCCAGGACTGGCCTTCGTGCCTAGCTCCAGCTTCCAAAGACAGCCCAGGAATGTGACCTTTAATCCTTGTGGTTGTTCAGTTGACAGCTCTTTATCTCTCACAATCAGTTTGCCTGGCCCTCTCAAGAGCTCTGCACAGCTGGGTTGGGTGCCTGTGTGGAAGCACTGGGCTAATGCCTGCTGCACCAGATAGACTCCTAGTTCTGTAAGAGCTCAAACACAACAGGAACTTAGGCTTTAGTCTCATAAAAGACTCGGGGGGGGGTACTTTGGGTTAGAGGCTGCCTCTCTTCCATGCGTACTAAAGGCTTAGGTCACAGCACCTAGGACTTTTTCATCCAAGTCTCCTTTGTTTGTCCCCTTCCACCTCTGAGAGGACAGATCTAGATGTAAAGCCCAGCTTCTCTACTTACACACAGCATGGCTGTGAGCCATCTGCCTTACTCTGCTGAGCCGATACCCTGTGTCGGGTACAGGGATGGCACATGTCAAGCCCTCAGAGGGGTTATGAGTCAGGACACAAGAGACACAAAAAGCACTTAGCCCTATACTGGGTGCTGCTAAAGGACAGACATGTGTCCCTGCTGTGCTGTGGGCCTGCTCTCAGGGTTTGGTCATTGATGAATGGCTTATGGAGGACTCCGACCACTTGTAATGGAAATGGAGAAGACTTGGTTTCCCTGGGCTGAGGTTGCGCCTCCTCATGTTTCACCCCAAGTTTTTAAAATCTTTATGTGGGTCTTGCCCAACCTGAGCCATATATGTGTTGTGAGAGGTTTTTTTTTTTGTTTTGGTTTGTTTCTTTT